TGCTATGGAATTTACAGCACTTTTTTTGCCAATTTTTATTTCCTCAGTGCATTAAGAGCCTTGTGCAGAAACTCTTTGTGAAATTATATTCTTGTATTACTGTCCTGTATCCATGTATATTTTAGCCTTATAGCCTTTTTTTAATTGTATCTAGTTTGATTATATCTGACCAAAATGTAATATTATTAATATTATTATTAACTCTGATTCACAGATCTCAGTTAAGCTTGCTAGAAAGATTGGGAATTTTTTTGCTTTCCCATGGTATTGTGTATTTCCAGTTTGTCTCTTTGTTGCTGATATTAAGAGAATATTAGTATTCAATACTGCTTTTATTCTGTGCCTCCCTTTGCTTTCATCTGCTTGCTTCAAATGGAATCTTTTGTTTTGTCTCATTAGGATTTGATGAAAATCATCTATGTAGATGAAAACACTCAGGCCCTCTTGGACACAGAATACAATACAGCTGGAGGTGTAGAGAAGGCTGACACACAGGCCATAGATACAAAAGTGGGGATTCGGACAGTGTGTGTGAGCCCTACTGGGGAGCACCTGGCCTCAGGTGATAGGATAGGCACTCTCAGGTAAACCTTGGAGTTTTGAAGAGCGTGTCCCTGCATAATAACACCAAAAGAACCCTAACTGCTTACTTGCTTGTATCATTTTCAGGATTTATGAATTGAAGCCCCTAAGAGAGATGCTGAAGGTAGAAGCCCATGATTCAGAAATCCTCTGCCTTGAATATTCTAGACCAGAGACAGGTAAGATTTGACTGACTGATTCATGAATCCATTCATCTTGTATATTGGTCTCCCTAGAACTTCTGGCACTTAACAGTGTTGGATAGATATCACATCCAAAGGAAGTAAGTAAATAAGTAAGTAAGAAAGTAGAATCTAGAACTAAGTAGAAATTTCCTGACAGCACAATTAACCAGGGGAACAGCTTGTTTTCAGAAGTTGTGGTGCTCCGTCACTGGAAGCTTTAAGAGGAGACAGCTACTGTACTTGTCTGGAATTGTATAGGGCACAGGTGTCAAACCCGATTGTATTCCATGATGCATTGTGATGTATCATGACATTTTTTTTCTTTGAGGAGCCGGGGTAGCTGTGGCCTGCATGTGACACATCCGGCCTGCAGGCTGCCAGTTTAACAGGCCTGGTATAGAAACCCCTGCTTGAGTAGGAGCTTGGACTAGAAGACCTCCAAGTACCCTTCAACTCTGTTATTCTGAAGTAGCATTAAAACATCCAAGTAAAAATGATTTAACATAATATAAAATAGTAAAAATAATAAGAATTAAATACACTTAAATTATATCTGGCATTCTTCAAGCAGCCATGCAATACATCTTAGATCAGCGATAGCTAAACTTTTTATCATCATGTGCCAACCCCCTCGTGTGCCCCACACCTGGCACATGTGCATGTGACACCCCCCTGCATACCCATACCCCCCCACATGCACATGTGAACCCGCCGTGGATTTGTGAGTGACCCACCCCATGCCCCATTTTGGCTTCCAGGCTGGTGCAGGCAGCCTTCCAGGCCCAAAATGGGGTACGAGAAGGGGCACACTCCGTTTTGGGACTGGAAGGCCTCCTGGACCAACCTGGAAACCAAAAGGGGCCATGGGCGCACTGCATGAGCCCTAAAATGCAATGTGAGCACCCCTCACACATGTGCCCCACCCCTGCACATGTGCGTGTTTTCTTGCATGCATCCCATCTCCTGCGCATACCTGTCCCCTGCATGTGCCTGCCCCTGTGCATGCGCGGCAGAGACATGAAGACCAGCTGACCTGTGGGAGGCACGCGTGCATGTGCGGTGGATGTGGGCTGGGGTGATGGCTGGTGAGCCTGCACGTGTGCCACAGGTTCACCACAACAGTCTTAGATGGTCCCTGTGAAATCAAGATAGATGCAAACCTACTTTCAACCGGGAGGCTATTCTAAAGGGTAGGTCTTGCTATACTTCAGTATCCCTCCCTTCATGTTCCCTATAATCAAGGGTGAGTTCCTGCCAACTTTACTGCTGGTTCATTCATGTGTGTGTTTTGCGTGCATGCGCGCATGTGCAGTTCAATTAAAATTGTTCCGCGCATGGGCATAACTTAAAAACAAGATGGCGCTGCTGATGGCACCAATTGGAGAACTACTTCGGGGGTGTGGCAGGCCTGGGTCACTGCCGGTTCCAGCAACCCACGCCACCATACCCTATAATCACACAGGGTTCTGAACCTGACCCTTCTATTTGTTTAGAGCTAAGACTTTTGACAAAGAGTCCCACTTTTTTGGTGCCACACTGGTGTTATTTCCATTCTTTTTCGTAATTTATTTTTGTCTACCATATTTAGCAGATGATTAAGTCTTCAATCATGTTTATTTCTTTCCCCCCCTCTCCTTAGCATTATCGTTGGGCTTTAATTATTTGTGGTTGCTTGAGCCATTGCATAATTTCTTGCAGGTTTCTTAAACCATTTAGAACCAGCTGACTCTGAAGACAGCAGTCTACAAGTTCTAAATATGCAAATGTGCAACCTTTTGTGTTCAAAAAGATCAATATTGTTTGATCTTTTCAAACTTGCCAGGAGACCACCAAGGCTTATTGCATCTGTCAAGCAGAAAGCCTTAATAAGTAATGAGCATCAACCCAAACTTCCTGTTAATCTGACTTCTGCTTAATTCTTGGTAAAATTTGGATCTTTTAAATATCTTCCCTTTCTGCACTGTGAGCAGTAAAGTTGTCTTTCGACTAGTCCTTCAAAACCCATCTGATAAATCAAATAATACCAGACAATTAAGGACAGGGTATTATTATGAGTTACTTTTTCTTCTTCTGTGGTACTAGCAGTCTCATTGCCTATTCATCTAATTTACCACCTCTGTTGACTGCTCTTTTTTAACCCTGCTAATGTGCTAATAACAGATTGAGAATTGCCAAATTTTGTTTTACCTGACTCCTGCCCGGTCCCATTGTAAGAGAAATTTCCCAGATCCATTCAACAACATTGAGAAGGTGCACCCATTCTAACAGTGAATGTCCTTAAAATTTCAGCAGGGTCTGAGTATATTGCTGACCTTATTTATGTGTCTGGGAGTTTGTCTCAGTCTCTTTTCACTAGTCCTATTTCTGATGAAGGTTATTGCAAAGGACTTGGCTGGGTATATCCTCATTGTTCCTTGGTAGCCCTAATAACCCAAGTTCACAACATGCTTCTTTCTTTTAATTCCATGAACCATCTGCAATTGTCCAAATGCCAGTGTATTCATCAATGATTAGTCAAAGAACCTCAGTTTCAGATAAATAAGCATTCTGCTCCTTTTTAATCTCCTTAACAGGATTGAAGCTTCTAGCATCCGCAAGTCGGGATAGATTGATTCATGTCTTGGATGCAGAGAAGGACTATAATCTACAACAAACCCTGGATGAACATTCATCTTCCATAACTGCAGTGAAATTTGCAGGTACTACAATTCTGTTTATGAATCAGCAGCAGCTCTTTGTTATCTGCCAAGGTTTTCTCACCCCACCTTTTCATATGACCCAAGTTCTTGCCCTTATTAGTAATTATCCACGGTGGCACAGTGGTTAGAATGTAATATTGCAGGTTACTTCTGCTGACTGCTGGCTTCCAGCAGTTTGATTCACACTGGCTGAAGTTTGACTCAGCCTTCCATCCTTCTGAGGTTAGTAAAATGAGGACCCAGATTGTTGGGGACAATATGCTGACTCTGTAAACTGCTTAGAGAGGGCTGAAAAGTACCATGGAGTGGTATATAAATCTAAGTGTTATTGCTGGTACCTTGCTCAATAGTAGTAACTGTGAGAGGGATCTTGGAGTCCTAGTGGACAACCATTTAAATATGAGCCAGAAGTGTGCAGCAGCTGCCA